GAATAGGACAGGGCTTGGCACGGGCTGTTTCCAGAAAAATAAAACGAAGTTATTTTTGATCTTGGAAGTTTTGTACGAAGGTCCAGTCCCCTTTGACCCCCATAAACGTAAAAAAAATCCTCAAAAAACGAAACGTTGACTAAATAAACGTCGCAGTTTTTGTGTCTTTTCGGCCAAAACGATATTTCCTTTGCTCTTTGTCCCAAAAAACGACATCCAGCTTGACCCGGTGTCGGCTGTGCCGATCCCTAATGTACATAGGTTCTTGCAGCTTGAAAGATTCCCGAAGTTTCTCGGTGATGGAATCGGGCCAACTTCAGACTCACAAGAAGATGAAGTAAAATGCTGCGAGCAAATGTTCTCTGAGGACCCTCAGATTATCACCAGGGATGCCATGTTGCATGTCATAGTGACTAATGTTGGCGATGATACAGTGAGTTCTAGTTTCTTTGTATGGGGTTTCAGGTACATGCTTGGTTTAGGTTGGTGTTCGCAAAAATGCGGCCAATGCTTTGCGAGTCTACTTCCCATACCTCAATGACACAACTGATATTGAGAATAGCGTCGAATGTTTCAAAGTTAGTTTCAAGTGAGATCAGTTGTTATAGATTTTCGAAGTTTTTAGGAACTCTGCTTTGACTGTTCATCCGTAGTGCGAAAACAGGCTATAGAAGTTGTTGACTTTCTTTACAACAACTGTACACAACATCGGTAAGCGTTCCTGAATAAATTGAAATTTGCAAGTGATTGAGACATAAAGGGATCTACTCGAGAACGCCTGGCTAGATACAGTATTGACTATGATCAATGACCGCGAGACAAATCTTCAAAATGTTATCTCGCAGCTTATTACGGTAAGTTGAAGCCGTACATGTGTCCCAAAGAATATATCAAACGTCTGATCTCAATAACCTCCTATCATGAATTTTTGCTGTCCTTCCGTTATCGCATTGGCCTTTAATCGCACTTCATCACTGTGCAGTGGCGTACCCAGAATTTTTTTTTGGGGAAGGGGGGGCCACGAAAATTTTTTTGGGGTGCTCTCTAAACTTTTTGCGGGCCCGGGACCCCAAATTTTTGAAAAAA